TACTTATACCAAAGAAACTAATAGCTAAAAATACAAAAGCTAGTAGGTTTAACAATATTGGAAACAAGAAAATCTGTACTTTCATGCAATTTGATTGCGTGAATGTATACTTTTATTTATATAAAATATGAAATTAGGTAATACATTACGCAAAATATTATATAAATATTTCTAATGATGAGATACAAATAAGGCATTGCTGAAGATCTCTTATTCTTTAATAAAAATGATTATGATAAAAAAAAAAGACGTTTAAAATAATATTTTTGACGTCTCAATAAGGGATGTATGGCGGTGCAAAGGTTTGCGAACTTTTCAAAATTATATGATCAATAAAATTACAATAATTGACAAAAATGATGTTGGATTATATTGAGATAATATCCTATTAATATTGCTCAAGTAGAATAAGAGACAGCCAGAAAAAGAAAAAAAAGAAAGAAAGAAAAGATAATAGGAATTAAATAAAACTTGGGATTCAAGATTGACATAAAAACAGAAACTTAATTTTGAATATATATATATATATATATATATATATATATATAAAATATTACGCTGAAGATCCGTTTAGGTGAAACCTAGGTTGGTTTGCCTGGCTCCTTAGTATTATTCTAGTTCAGCGCTCTACTTAGTGCATACTATATGTCGCTGTCTTTTTACTAGTTTTGTTTTTTTTCTTTGGACTTGGAGCTTAAACCCTTCAAGCGAATTTTTTTTTTCTTTAAGAAAAAAAAAAATTCGCTTGAAGATGAAATGGAACTAATGCTTTTAATTTAATTGCAAAATTAAATTCGGGGCTTTTAGCTTCTATTTTTGAAACATGGTTAGAACTGTGTAGCAAAAAAAAAACAAAAAAAAACAAAAAACAAACCATATTTTAAATCAATTAATTTATAATATTAATGCTCTGTATATTTACATTGAGCACTATTTTGTAAAAATAAAAATATCTATAAGAACACCGGATTTTATATCTTACTGTACTTTCTTTTTATATATATATATATATATATATATATATATATAAATAAAACGTACCTTCAAGATTCGATAGAAAATAAGCATCCATGATAAAATGATAACCAAAACTTAAAATATTTGAGTCATTCTTAAGATGAAAGATAAAAGATTTTCCGAGGTATTTTTAACAAAAAGTAAGTAATATTTGTTTCAATTTAGCTTAATTAAACTTTAAATCAGCTAATTCTTCACAAATAATGTTTCAGAAAACTAGTTTACTCTTTTAAAGATTTTTAATAGAGATTTACCTTGACAGATTTGTCAATATGGCCAATTTTATCGATTTTTACTGATAATCAGAAAAAATAAAATTAAATCTATTAGCTTGTAATTAAAACTAAAATAAATGCTTCAAGAAAGATTTTTCATTTTTAAAATGAATTTTAAAGTTAAGTATCGCTTTTAGTTTTATAAGCATACATTACATCAAAAGGCCGGGTAGATTCATTTCATGGGAAAGATATCCCATGTATTTTTTCTTACCAGCTAAGGATTAAATAGCAGGGTATACTGGGATCTCTCGCCCTGGTTGTCAACCAGTCTATGAGAAGGAGAAGTCTGAAACCGTATGGATGTAGTCCTAGCGAAGCACATATTATACAACAATCGAAAAGATGGCATGTTCAGTGACTATGGTCTCGACTGCGGTTGATCTGATAGAACATTTGGGCTGGGAAAAGTGTGCCATATAAGCCGTCAAATACAATATGCATGGACGATGTAAATATTCGAAGATACTCTCATAGTTCAGTTGTCTTAGCGCAACTATTTTATTAAATGGTCAGTCAGTTTTATTTGTATTTGTTTCAACCTGTAAACTTAAATTTCAGAAATAAATTTTATGGGACTTTTAGTGGAATTTTTTTTATTTTATTAATTTCAACATTAGAAACATTTTAAAACTGGTGCAGACATTAATAATATGGAAAAGATGCCCAACAAACTCTTCCTTTTATTTGTATAGATGTAACCCTTAAAATAAATTACATGTCTCAAAGAACCCCCTGTGCAAAAAGAAAACAAAATTATATACCATATCTTTCTCATTTTATTTTCATCGTAGTTCACGTAGTAAATATAGTACATATTTTTGAATAACGGGTTTAAGGAAAAATTAATACTTTGTCAATTTTTTTCGGTAATGCTAAATAAAATTCATACTGTTCGTTTATAAGAATTCATCAGGGAAGTTTTCATTCATACACAAAAAAAAAAAAATCATATACCTTTGTTTTAAACTTTAATATAAATGTAGACAACGAAAACATAATTGCTGCATCAGTTTTTAATTTTTTATACTTTACTGGCAATGTTGAAAAGACATAAGGTAAATATAGGTAAAATGTCCTGTGAACAAATAAATGGGCTAAGAAAATGTTACTTTCAGGAAGCATGTGCCTGTCTTTTGCTTAAATTATCAATAAAAAGTCGAAAGTGCATTAGCTTATCTCACCTGTTCTCGCAGAACCCTTGGGACCTTTTGCAGAACCTTAGGGTTCAGGGGAATCCCGGTTTAAACGCGGATATAGATTATTAAAATAACCGGTATGAAAGTTACGATGTCAACAATGGATTTTCTTTGTACGTATCAAACTTTAATGGCGGACCTGTTCATTTTTAAAGACTATGTATCTCCAGACAAATTTCGATTTTTTTTGTTTTAATTAAAAAAACAAAAAAAAAACAAACAACGGAATCTGCTTTTATCTTGGCTTCAGTAAAAATGAATGGTTTCATATAAAATGAAGGATTACTTAAAAAAATTAAAATGTCTTTGAATTGAAAACACCATGGAACTACAAGTCTTACCAAAAAAAAAAAAAAAAAAAAAATTTTTTATTTTATTTTTTTTTTATTTCTTTACGTTTAGATATCAAAGTGTTAACGTCATTTAAAAAAAAGAATGAAAAACAAAAAAACACCAGAAATTGTAGACCTTTAGCTTGGCCCAGGCTAAGAAAAAATTAGTAAATACACCTTCAACTGGATAATTCAGAAGAACGATTGGCTTTCCGATTTGACAGTTCGGAATATTTTTTTTTTTTTTTAATTCAAGTTGTAAAAGCTTTTGAATTATAGCTTCACACAAGGTGGGTGAAAATGTCACAAGATAAAATTATTCGAATTAAACTAGCATTTGAATAAAACTAAAAACAAACCAGTTTAAAATTTGGTTCGTGTTTTAATATATAAAAAAAATCTCTCCAAATTATTTTAGGAAAAACTTGGTAAAAATTTGTTTTAATTTACTCCCGCAAACTCCATTATGACAATTTCTTAATGGTGTTCTGTTCACGCAAGATTTCATATAACCTTATTAGTTTTTTTTTTTTTTTAAATTAGTCATTTGGTTTTGACGACCATTGAAAAATAAAAAAAAAAAAAGCGTAGAAACTGGTCTATTTGCTTCTGTCTTCACTTAACCAAATGTTTCGAATCCCAACTGAACAGTAACGTATTTTATTTTCACGAATAAGCGAACAGGAGGGGCGCTTGTTGAAAAAAAAGAAAAAAAAAAAAACTTACTCTGAGTGAAGCAATGGTGACACGTGTCTTTTATAACTTGCAGAAAGATTCTGTTTATTCTTCAGAAATTGTATAATCGATTGAAAGTCAACGAAAATGCTTTGCATGTTTACCTTACTGAGAAAAAAAAAGATAAAGTTTGGTTGGCTGTACCTACGTGTTACAGAACAAAAGCAATAGAATGGATAAAATATTATAGAAGCAGGCAGAAAAAAATGGGATTGATCTCAGTGAAAATAGACAAAACTGAAATTAAAATGTTTGCAGTTTCTTTTTCATAGCAACATAACAGTTTTTCTTCTTTAAATAAACCGTGTATTTTTAATTTATCCCAATACGGTAAGTTGATATAAGTAAATCTTATATACATTAAGAGGGGTAGCTTATTTGAAATAAAAAAAGAATCTAAATGTACTTCTTTTCACAATTAATAAAAGAGTAAATTTCGTAATAAAATGACGATTACTTACTTGATAGGCTATCAGTTCTCACTTTGCATTTCACCGGACGCACACACAAATAAAATATGGCAGCAAATCGAATTTAAAGTGGAAGTCACGCGTATATGGGATTGGAGACTATGGCCTTGTGCCACATCTAAGCTACGCTTGGAAATCACTATGTGATTGGAGACTATGGCCTTGTGCCACATCCAAGGTACGCTTGGAAAATCACTATGGGATTGGAGACTAACTCCTACAGCGCTTCCATCATTGAGACATCTCAGGCATTCATCCTGACCCTCCCTCTGAGTGCAATGGGAGAGCTGCTGTCTTAGGTTTCTCATGGACATTTGCTAAATTGTCACACGTGACCCAAAAGCCATTTCGATCGCTTATGCCAGTTGTTATTTACTAAACTTTTTTTTTTTTTTACAATTATATACAAGGCCCAAGAGCCACTCGAGGTAGACCGTTAAGCAGTGAGAAGCACAGTTTATGGGGATATGTGGGGAAGATAATGTTTAAACCTTGACTTGAGCAGGTTAAGATTGTAGTGATTAGGGAAGCATCCTCTTGGGAGTCAGTTCCACAGAGCGTCGGTTCGCAGGAAGAAGCTGCTCGAGTGGAATTTACATCTTACCAATGGAATACGGAGGGAATGTGGGTGGTTTGCTACAATGTGCATGGCATTCTTAGCCGTGCAGGTTAGAACTGGTGGAACTAAGGAATGGCGTTCGTCTGAATATTCTCTATTGAAATAGCCATAAAGCATTGAGAGGCTTGCGTCGTTTTAGTTTAGTACAAGGTGTGGATCACCGAATTAGACCGGCACGTTAAATATTGCTACGTAATAATTTAATAATCGTGGTTAAAATTTATGTATGAAATGTGAGTGAAATTGTAACAAATATTATGAGACAAGACTTGTAAATTTTTATCGACGACTGAAATTTATTTATTAAAAGGTTTCATTGTCAAATAAATAAAGTATTTAAAAAATGCAGGACTTATGGCCATATCACGTTGAAACACCGGCTTCTGTACGATCATCGAAGTTAAGCAATGTCAAGCCTCGGTAGTACCTCGATGGGGGACCACTTGTGAATACCAGTTGCTGTAAGTTGATGTAGTGAAATAGATTACGACACGAAATTGGAAATCAGAGTTGGATTCGTGACATTTACTTACGCGCAAATTCTCTTGGGAAAGGGATAAATTCATCCCTTTTTCCTCCAGCTATGGGTCAATTAGTATGACTTGTGTCAGTAAATTATTATTATCTCCAAAATTCTTACAATCTAAAAATATTTTCAATAATATGTAAAAGGTTGATAAACCGTAAAAAAAACAATAAAAATGTGGATTTTCTTTTATGTATATAGTTCCACCAGCTTATGAAATTCCAGTAAAATGCTGCGTGATCATAAAGACTTTTACATATTTTAAAATACATTTACGTGACTTTTTAAAATAAATTCAGAGTTTTTGAGGAAAAAAAAATAAAATAAAATAAAAAAATAATACCCTAAATCGTAAAATTAAAAACAGCAAACTTGTTAGTTTTATTCCATAAATTATATTATAAACTTATGGTATTTTCTTAAGAATTAATGGATTTATTTTTAATCCGGCATTTTTATTACTTCAAACGTTATTGTAGTGGATACTCGTATTTGAAATAAACGCTCCATTATTATTTTTACTTTAAACTGTGTGTAACTACGTCTGCACACTCGACAAATGTCATTAAAGAAAATGGGAGCAAATTTTCTTTACTGGGATTCATCGAGTATGCAGGCCAATAGATGTAACACACTGTCTAAATAAAAAAAAGGAAAAATAAAAATGGGGCGTCTATTTCAAATACTAGTATCCACTAATAATAACGTTTGAAGTAATAAAAATGACTTATAAGCAAACGTCTCTATGCTAAAACTTATTTTGAAAAATTAAAATTAAAAATTTAATCAAAAGTAAAACAATTGTAAAAATATTTCAAAATTATTTTTTAAATATTTCAAAATTATTATCTTATTTTTTTCTACCTTTAATCTAGTTTGAAATATTATTAAATATAAAACAACAATCAACAAATAAAATATTTCATAAATAATCATTGGTTTCTCTGTAATTTTCGTACATATTAACAATTAAATATGAATCTGTAATGGATGGAAGACCCATTGTTGCATAGCCCCCTCATGCTAGGGGATCTTGGTCACTGCGTCAAATTAATACAATGTTGTATAGCCCCACCCCCTTCGTGCTGGGGTGACGGCATCAATTCCATAATAAAGTTGCATTCTTCTCCCGGCTGGTGTTAGCCAGTTGTTTGTGTGTGTGGATGCTTTCAGATTCAAGTCTAAAAACCTTGTAGGTTACCCCATTTTGTTTTGCCAAAAACGCTCGCTAGGGAGCACCCTTTAACTCTATAAAAAGGCAATATATTTTCTCACTTTCTCCTTTTGCATTCAGATGTAATCAAACATAGTTAAAGAATGCTGTCGCTGGGACACGTTCGCTTCTTTGGTCCTCTGTTAACTGATCTCTCGCGCACATACGCACAATCACACACTTATTTCATACACATTCTTATAGCTTGTTTCAATGACTTTTTTTTATTTCAATAGTGTACACATGTAATTACTTTTAATATATGCATATAATTGCCATTTGTTTTCAATTTATTTTTTTGTTTTTATTTTTACCCGAACTCACATGTGTTCGCCGTTATTGTTTGCAGTACAAATGTTCCAGGAGCCCATAAATATCTACTATAAAACGTCAACATACTCATATCAAAAGTATTGAATCCCACAACAAAGTGGTGACTTTTTTTTTTTTTTTTTTTTTTTACACAAATAGCACAGAAACTCGCCACAACCTGACCAATGTTTACCTGTAGACTTAAGAATCTCTATCTATAAAAGGCAGGATGTGTGTGTAACGAATGTACAGCCGCAATTTTTGACGGATTTGCACCAAAATTTACATGCACATGCTCCCACTTAGCGGGAAGGCCAAGATCCACTTTGCATTTCTCAACTCCCATCGATAGTAGAAATAATCGATTTTTTTCGTGCTTCTATGGCAGTTTTCATGTAGTTTGCGACCATTTTATACTGGCCAGAGTGAGAGCCAATAGCTGGCGGCCACAAATAGGCAGGAAGATTCTATTGGCCAGCGTGAGAGCCAACAGCTGACTGACACGAATGTTAACTAGCATGCAAAAAAAAAAAAAAATCGATAGCTGCATTCGTCACAAGTGGGAAAAATTTAAATCTGCATGGCACTTTACTCCAATTGGCTCATTCGCTTGCTTAAACTCAACGTTGATCCTGATTCCGCAGAACTGGGTTGGGTGTGAAAAAAAGTATTAAAATTTGTTAACATTTTTTTTCATTCGGTTTTTCCAGTTACGAGTCCTTTTTAAAGCTGATCGTTTTGTGTTCATTTTGTTTAGTTTTTTTTTCGTAACAGATTTAATGTTTAGTATAGAGCTTAGAAAAAATTCACAGTGTGAGATAGGCAAGAAGTAAGGCATGTAGCAACATCAGCACAACAAAGGGCACTCCTTTAAAGGCAAGGAAGGGCAAAATATTTTAAGTCAAGTGATAGTGATTGCTGTATGAGTCGTACGATTTTTGAATCAAGCACGGGCAACGCAGGGCCATGCTGCTAGTAATAAAATAAAAAAGGCAAAACAGATTTCGACATTGGATGGCATAGCAGGGGTTCATATTTTGGAAGAATCCACCGGCAGAACCTAAGCTTAGCTTAGTCTATCATACGCTTACATGTTTAGAACATCCAGCAACGATCAAATTCATTCCTGTGAAGTTAGCCTGATAACTACTACAAGACGATACGTTCAAATATTTATTCAAATTAGTTTCGTTTGGCATAAAACAATGGTAGCATTGACACTCAGAGAGGATCGTAATAACTACCTTCGCTGCAAGGCATATTTTCTAATAATCCTTCCAAGTAAAGCGTCTGTTGTAGTTGTTTAACTTTGCCTAGTCTGGCACAAGGGCACAAATATAAAAAAGTGGGTGACGTTCGAACTCATTACATTTGATTCGATCGTGAACCACTAGCTAATAGTGCTTCACCTATTTGGTATTTACTCAACTGAATTTAGTCTGACAGAAGTACACAACGCTAGGAAACCTAATGAGGATTTTTTTTACTCATTTTAGTAATCATGCAACTACAGTAGATTTGCATTTAAAATTCCCATGATTTTTTTTGTTTAGAGCTAATATATTTTTGCATCCACCAAACATTTGCGCAAACAGAAATCGAGTGAAGGCTCTGTGGCAAAGATGCAAATAAAAAAAAATCAAAGCAATGCCTAGACCAATAAATCGTTTTATGATAGACTAGCAGTAGAGCCCGGTGTTGCCCGGGGATGTAACAGTAAGAGATAGATCAAGTATCGACCATCATAAAGACTGAAAATTAAAATTGACAAAGATTATTGTTTAAGGTTGACGAACACGCATGTCTAAATTAGCTTTTTTTTTTTACGAATTGGTCAAACCCAAACTGAAACAAAAACATTGTTTTCAATCGTTATGAGTCTATCGATTGAATAGAATTTTATTATAAACAATTGTCTTGTCAGTGGAATTTTTAAAGCATTCTGAATGTAAAAATAAAGAAAAAAGTGTGCAAGACAATAAGAAACACTACCTGCCAAAAAAAAAAGTGAAATTTTGTTGAAATCGGTTGAAAAATGTAGGAAATCCGATATCATATATAAAGGAACACACACACAAACAACCTGGGTTTTATAATAAGTATAACTCGATATGAGTTGTCCCCCTTTCATTCTGGCGACTTAATCGTGTTTTCAAATTGATTTCATGCAAAAACAATTGTGTTTTTCCAATTTTTTGCGCTGTCAGAATCACCGCAAGGTAATTTTACGCGGTCCTGTGAAGTTTTGTTGAAATCAGTTGAAAAATGTAGGAAATCCGATCCAATATATAAACGTACAGACACACACACAATCTGCGTTTTATAATAAGTAAGATGAGTGTTTTGCATCTGGAATCCAAGATTTCAAATGTTATTTTTTAGAATCAAATGGACACAGATTTACATCATGTTTAATATTATTGGTTATTGAATTTATATTAAATTGAAAACACCTTTATTAAATGTTGATTTTTCTTGATTGGAAACAATAGTTTCAGAGGTTCAATTTAAATAACAAAATGCAATCATGAGTAGTAAATATAGATTTTTTCAGGGGGGGGGATTATCAAAGTAAAATAGGACCTATCCCTGAAGCCTGGGAATATGGTAATCATCAATATAGTGTCAACATGGACCCATAACAATAAATAGTAAAACTGGCCATATCGTAAATGGTTTATTTGCAACAAAGAATTATGAGTGAATCAGTGTTACATCAAATCGACACAAATTTATATCCTGTTTAATATTATTGATTCTTAAATTTGTATTAAATTGAAAACACCTTTACTGATGTTGATTTTATTGATTGAAAACAATAGTTTTCACACGTTCAATTTAAATGACAAGATACACATCTTAATGCGTGGAAAGTAAATATATAGAGTTATGAGTGGGGGTGAGAATGTGTAACAGCGAGGTTTTTTTTTTCTCGTAAAAAGTGAAAATTTCTCTAGTTCAACGGTTCATTTCCTTGACGTCATCCAAAGTTGCTGAAAGTTGTTAATTAAAAAAAAAAGAAAAGAAAAAAGATGAACTAAATCATAGTTTGATTGAAGACAAGTGTTGACAGAGACTCGTTCATTCATGCTTACATCATCGACCTAATGATTTCAGAAGTAAAGTCTGTTTTACTGCCTTTTTTTAACAGATAAGAAGAGATTTCGATTTGACAATGGCTTTCATTTAAAATCCAAATATTAAGAACAACGGATTGTAAGCAGAATGTGTAGTAATTAATTTTGGATCTTTTCTCTCGTTGATTGTTTGGCATCGATTGTTTTGGGATGTGGTTCTTGATGAGATGGAATGGTAGGAAGTTTCTGGGAGCGGCGTTCTGTCATCTGATGGAACTGTGAGAATGCGGTGGTTGAAGAATCTCAAACTGCTGTGTCGACGGCGCTTCTGGTGGAT